CTGCCCCAGCAGCGGCGCTGAGCTGCGGCCGCACTCGGCAGCGAGCTGCCCCAGCAGCGGCGCTGAGCTGCGGCCGCCCACGGCAGCGAGCTGCCCCAGCAGCGGCGCTGAGCTGCGGCCGCCCACGGCAGCGAGCTGTCCCAGCATCGGTGCTCCGCAGACGGCTCAGCACGAGCAGCCCGACGCAATGGTTGATGGCTCAGCAACCAAGGACGCAGGTGCAAGCAATGCTCCGCAGGCAGCCCAGCACGTGCACCCCAACGCGATGGCTGATGCCTCAGCAGCCCACGACGCAGGCGCGAGTGCTACTCTGCAAACAGTCCAACACGTGCAGCCCGACGCGAAGACTGGTGGCCCAGCAGCAGCCCACAACGCAAGTTCTTTGCTTCAACGGCCCACAACGCAAAGGACTCGCCAACTCTGCATCGACGAGCTCTTTTCACCTCTGGAGATGCATCAACGAATCCCTGCAGATGTTTCATGCTGCCTGCTATGTGCCGCAACCGTGCCGCTGTGGCAAAACTGTGTCTCCGCTCTCCTTCCATGCAGGTGCTGGACAGGACGAGGCATATGCCATTGGCATTGTATCCTTGCATGGTTGGATCTTGCCGGCACGTGTCCCCTTTGTAGACGACCAGCGCATTGCCGCCAGACGCATGTTTCTGATTGGTTGGTGACCACGACTTGGTCACTGGAGGACTTCTGAGAATGTATACTGCCTTCGGGTCTGGAGATATTCTCCATCCAGCCCTACAGCATGTGGTTTTATCCTGTTTACCATAACTATCGCCATCACTGACATCCAACACGCACATGTGTTTGTTGGATGGTATCTACATTATCATACACGTGGTTGATATTATAGTTGATCATTTCACTTACTGAATCAGTGAATGTCAATATAGTGTCAGTGATTGTGCATTGTGCAGGTACTTGCTGATTTAGTACACTTAAGCAAATTGATAGTGATTTATCATACAAGATAATCTGTATACCACTGGACAACATGTGGCTAGTATGATGCATATCAATTTGGTTAGTAAGTTGTAATCCTGCATATCTCATCATGATGAATGACGAGTTGATTGATATATTTCACAAATGGCTCCGGCGAGTATTCCATCTTTGATCAACAGTAGAACAGTTATCCATCCCAAACCCTACGTCAGGAATAACTGAGCTAATTACTGTCTTTATGATCAAGATTGGCACCTTATACCAAGTGGATTCATTTATAGCCTATACTTGCACAGCAGGTATGCTATATGGTATATTGATGCAACATTTAGTATGTGTGTAAGATGTGCATATTTACAGTGTAGCATAGTTGTATTGCTTGATCAACCCCCGGTTCCATAGGGTACAAACCTATGGTCGGTTAGGCGCGGACAGACAGTCACCAAATCGATCAACAGAACTACATGGTGATTTCAAGATAAGTCCTTACTTTTTAATCTTGCAATACTTCCATGATACACTGTCAATATATGCATATGTATGCCAACTGTTATCGTGATCAAGTTGGATATGCATATGTGTGCATGTGTGCCAAGCATTTGTGACCAGACTGATTATTATACCAGTATGAATGGTGCACAAGTTACAGTATAATGGCAAGTTGTAGTGTGTGATAATAATGTTGACTTGTGGTTAGTGGTATAAGTGTATTAACTTATCACTCACTGTCGGCATGTATTATAACAGTGGAATTGTGCTGCATGGTGTATACCATATTAAGTGTGTGAAATGATGATGACGGTGCACACTAGTATTATACAGCATATGTGTGTATACTGCTGATTGGTATAATACACATATGACCGCGCAGCATAAATGTTCATCTGATGAAATTGTATGTCCGACTGCAAATATTGTATGTACATTTGCGAGTATTTGAACGAACATCATGATTGCATGCTATGTGCGCGCGCAACACATATTGTATGACGCGCTGCATGTTGATGTATCACGGATCATGCGCCCTCTATCGCGCGTCTCCTGCACAAGATGAAATCATGGTGCGCATCGCCTGACGAGCTAAATCATCGTACGTACGTGCGCGTCGATGAGCGATTCGTGTAAATCATCTGCAAATAACGAATCATATGCATGCGCTACACTGAACGATTAGTGCGGATAGCGAACATCGCTGTCGCCGGTGTATGTCGCATGGTATGAATGCCATTGCGCGTATAACGAAACTCCGTGCGTTCTGCCGCAGTTGATTCGAATCATACATACTGATGATGATTTTTCGTTCGCGCGTCCGTATGTCGCATATCGTACCAACCCTGCGAAATGCTGACAGCATGTATGTGCGATCCGTACGCAGTGCGCACACCTTGACGCTGATTATTTGCTGACGATGTTACCGCGAATGCTATCAGCTGCGAATGCGTTCGCGATGATGATTTCTCGCGCACTCCGTTTGCTGACGATGTCGCAGCGAATGCTGTTATTCGCTTGTAGATATTCGATATATGTATGCGAGCTCTGTCGCCGGTATGTATGCGCGATACCTGTCACATACACAATATACAATCTATATACAATATATCTACTGCTGCACACACTCGTATGTCCTCGTTCGTCGCGTGGACGGAGAATAACCACTGTCAAGGTTGATATACAACCTTTCAGACTATGCGGCTGCTATTGAACTGTAGCAACGCGCAACACTATTTGGTGGGGTATGAGTGCAGTCTCTGGTGTCCAGAAGTATCTGCTAGAGCGCAATGCTCCTCGTATACCAATGCCCTCACGCTTCATAAGCGTTACCACCATCGGGTTGTGAACCCGAGGGCATTGGGTGAACTAACAGTATCGGCTGGTCGAAATAGCCTGTTGATACCCGCATGTTGTTCAGTTCATGCTTGAAGCGAAGACGCGTCCTCTCAGAACAGTTTGTTCCTTCAAGAACTTGTCTTGCTTCGCCATCGAGATGCCGTACTCGGCCTCTCGATGACAGATGTCACTCATGGTGAGTGGATGACATATATTATGACTGTACATGTCACGTAGTCGACCGTACTGACAATACTCGACGACTGTATGTCATTATAACATATGACATGCCATGACATGACATGGTATGACATGTATGACACATATGTCATCGGTCATATCCCTGACAGGTTTGAAATTTGTGCGGGGATCTTCACTGTACGAGCCGGGTCAAATCATATATCGTCATGGGGCGAAAATGCTCCACGACGGGATTTGAACCCGTGACGTTCGCTTCTCTAGTGCTCTAACCAACTGAGCTACGCGGAGGAGGATGATCCTTTCGCGCATTTCAGTGGTACTCGTACAGATCGGACTGTTACAGATCGATGATCGACTATGCGTGTGACATCGACGACGACGTACCAACATCGCGACTGCGGGCGTCTGTCATCTTTCGATCCGTAACATATCTCCCCTCTTTAAAGTGTCGTGACCTCACGACATTCGTGTCGAGTTACTTTTCAGAGGTCCGACCTCAGATGTGATGACGTGGCAGCCAACCTTGTCCGCTCGTACCGGGGGTTGTGTGGAATGTGTCCACGTCATCAGCGCGGGTCACATCGTGCCCATGCATACGCGATCGTAGCGCAGGTCACATCACCGTGCCCGAGCATACGCGATCTTAGCGTGGGTCACATCGTGTGCCTTATGCCGTTACATCTGAGGCGGTTTCCGAACCGTCGCTTCGATACCAATGTTAAGGTTTGAAATTTGTGCGTGGATTTTCACTGTACGAGCCGGGTCAAATCATATATCGTCATGGGGCGAAAATGCTCCACGACGGGATTTGAACCCGCGACGTTCGCTTCTCTAGTGCGACGCTCTAACCAACTGAGCTACGCGGAGGATGATGATCCTTTCGCGCATTTCAGTGGTACTCGTACATATCGGACTGTTACAGATCGATGATCGACTATGCGTGTGACATCGACGACGACGTACCAACATCGCGACTGCGGGCGTCTGTCATCTTTCGATCCGTAACACGTTGTGTATTTCCTGCTTGTTATAGTGGGTATGTCAAAGCTTGCTAATACCTTATGAGCGTATGTGGGGTTTAAAGGGATCGTGAGTATTATGTAGGGTTGCTATGGTGTTTGATACTACCATTATTCCTACTTTCCAACTTTCCGGTGGTTGATATTCCTAGAGTGCTGTACGATTTACGCGTAAATCCTCAGAGGTCTCAAACGCGTAAATTGCGCATGAATTACTTCTGGGATACAACGTATCTTGCAACATATAATTACCCCCAGATGCCAACGATGTCTCCGCCGTAAATAATTCGCAAACGAGCTCGTAACGTTCCCGTCCGAATCCACAACCGAACGCAATCGCTATGCCCGATACCGCCCGTGTCGGTTTTCCTCTAGCGGGGTTCACCTACCCCATCCCAACGGGGTTGGTGTTTAGCCACTCGTGGCTAGCATTGTCTGATAAACGGGCATGGACTCAAACCTACCGGAAACGACTACACGGCTCTCGGGGAAATCTGTGGTAAATACATGGAAATGGGAATGGAAAAAGCTTAAGATAGGTCATTCAGATAGAATGATATAGTGGTGAGTGGTTTGAGTACAGAGAAACACAGTGTCATCGGGTTGGTGCCCCTGAAATACAAAAGCATACTCGTTGTGAAAGCGTACTGGAAAAAAAGGGAGTGTGGCATCAGAATTATACTTTTTCTCCACACACCGGTAGTTTTGTTTTTTCATTATTGCACGATGATCGCTCTCAAGCATCTCAACCTTAGCTATACTGTGGAATCTCTAAGAAGGTACCCCTCACTCCGAGTTCGAGGAATAAGCAAGGAATGCGTTGAAGTCCTGCTTGAATCTCAATTACATTACATATGCTTGAGAAGTCTCCAAAGCAATCAAACATATTTCATAACGAGCTTTTTCAGAGTAAGAAACGATATTACACCTTCAGAATAATGTTACTTGTAAGAGGGGAAAAAGCAGGTGAAGCCTCCTCGTAGTGCAGATAAGACAGCAGCTTTCGGCAGCAAACTGCGTAAACTTCCAGTGTTGACGCTTACGTTGTCCAGGCGGTACTATGGGAACTGCCTAGAATGACCACCTCAAGCATCAGTGCTTCAGGTATTTCAGCCTTTCTCCCTTGCGAGATCATCCTCTATTAAATGATTAACGCTTAAATTCCCTTGTCCTACCGACACGTGTTCCTATGCACACTATAAGAAAACCATTACTTGCTAAGAGCTCAGATGCAAGATGGGAAGTGTACCCCGCCCACCACACCCCCTTGCATGCTCCTGCGCACGTTGGCGGCAAACGTGCGAGGATCTTTCTGTAAGACATCTGCCGCGTCTCTATTCAGCGGATCATCGGGATTTGGGTCCTGCAATATTCCATCAAATTGATGAAAAAGTCAAGCCACACACAAGGAAGCAGACGAAACATCCGTGGTCTTCAGCAACCTATCAGGGAAACGCAAAGGTAAAACGACTGTCCATAAGATCCTTTTGTTTCAACAGCTTATAGCTTACCATGAAAAGAAACTGAAGACCATAAATGATTGAGTTGATGCTGAGCACAGGCTTCCAGTCCTCGCGCAAAATGTTGAGGCACACGTTCCCGTCCAGGTCAATGTTAGGGTGGTACACCTGCACCAAGTCACATAGGATCGTCGCCTTCTTTTCTGGGCAGGCCTTTGTGAGCAAGGGCACGAGGAATCACCTTCGTCATGCACTTCACTTTTGGAGCTTCGTGCGGATAGCTGGGGGAAACGTCAAAGGAGAAGACAAACGAACCGCCCCTGTGAAGAAACCCGCCTCAGATCGACGGGAGTCTCAACACAGAACAATACGACAGCATGAGAAAGTCGCAAGAAAGTGCCATACTTGTGATAACCCTCGTCCGGAGAGATGGACACCTCAAATTGTAACAGCTTATCCTTTCCATTCGGAAAACGGATTGAAGTTGTCCTCGCAAGGTTTAACTCAGAAATATCTGCGAGCAAGGAAGCGCGAACCCTTAAGCAAGACCGATCGGCAAAGTCGACAGCCTAACAAAGTAACTTACAACGTCACAAACCTTTCTGCAGTCGCAACTCCCCAGGAGACTGTTTGGCTTTTGCTGTGCCATTTGCGACGGCGGCGTCTTCCTTTTGTTTCTGAGCACACATATATCCTCAGTTTAGAAGTACAAATGGTAACACCGAAAGCGTCAAACAAAGAGAACAGCAGTGCGAAGATTTACCTCCTGAAGCGTTAGCAGAGCGTCACGATCATAAGCATACAAGAAAACACACTTGTCAGCGCAATAACAATAAAACTGAATGAAACCTGGAAACAGCACGTGATAAACTATTTCCAGTTACCCTAAACAAACTGATACGGGAATCACGCAAGGCACACGCAACAGGGATCTCGTACACTCCCACAAGGAAAAATGCCGTTCTACTGTAGTTTTTGGCGACCGTACCTTGACTGAGAATAACTTAATCATGTTTCTCTGAGAAAACTTTGGCGAAAACTACAACTGAGCAATATGTTCTCGGATTGCAGTTGTTGGTGGCTAGTGCGAATACCACAAACTGCAGGACTAACGCAAGAGGCACACTCGATACTGGAGATTAAAATTTCCTCTATCTCGAAGAGGTGGTTACACGGTTACGCCTGGAAATGCGAGGTCTTGGGAAGTTGCAACTTCAACGTGGAATGTGCATTCCATGCAATTCCTCGCCTGAAATTTCGATGTTGCAGAAGGAGCATATTGAATCATTTCATGGATTGAACATTTCAATTTTCACGATCGAAGCATCGAACATCGATTATGACAAACACAATGATTAATCAATCAATAAAGTTTTAGTTTTATACAGTATACATGTAGAGTATACAGTATTCCCCACCTTCGCTTCCCTTCCGCTTACTGTGTCACGCTTCTGCTTCGTGCTACTGTGTCACTGTACAGGTGTCACTGTAGCTGTTCACCTGTGACTCGTGTCACTGCTTGTGCGCTATGATACTGTGTCATGTCATGTCACAGTAGTGAGTCACAGATGTACAGTAGTGATCGGTAGCGCTAGCGCTAGCGGTCTCACACGACAGCGACAGTGTAAGTATTAGTATATGACATGTTAAGTGTTAAGACTATATTGTATATATGATATGACACAGTCATAGTCATGACATAACATAACACCGCAGCCGCACCGCACCGCACCGCATCGAAGTCGCATCGTAGACGCAGTCGATAGTCATGGATGGTGTCATAATTATTAAGAATTAATATTTAATATTAATATTTGAGCTCTATGACTCGAGGTCGGAGGCCACGGCCACGGCACGGCTCGGGTCGGGGCGAGGCTAACATGCGAGGCATGGGGCAGCCAGGTAGGTTAAGTCTGCGACTGCGGAAGTTGGAATTCTTTTTCTTTTAGTTGGCGGCTGTATCTCACACCCCTTCCACCTGCAAATATGGTGCGTATCAGCGTGTTGGCCGATGCCCTCAAGACTATGTACAATGCTGAGAAGAGCGGAAAGCGTCAGGTCCTTATTAGGCCTGTTTCCAAGGTTGTCATCAAGTTCCTGCAGGTCATGATGAAGCACGGTGCGTCTTCACGACGCACCAGATGGTCAATCCCTTTGGCAGGGACTGTTTGTTCCTGTAATTATTTTTAGCAGCTGTAAAGCGTGGGCATACAATGAGAGAAAGGCCTTTTCGAACAGGTTATATTGGTGAGTTCGAGCTGATCGATGACCACCGTGGTGGCAAGATTGTCATTGAGCTCATTGGCCGCCTCAACAAGTGTGGCGTTATCAGGTGATGCGGTTGCCAAAACGCGCTACTGAACACTCACGTATCCCATGCACGGCAGGATTGTTTGTGAGGAAACACATGGATATAACGGAAGGAAGATGATAAGTAGCATATCCCTTGCTCGCTGCACTGACTGAAGGAAGTTCGTAATCCCTTGGGGTACGGTGCAGCCCCCGCTACGATATCGGCCACGATCAAGTTGAGGACTGGATCGGCCGTCTTTTGCCTTCCCGTCTGGTGAGTAATACATCGGAAAAGAACCCTCAATTTGTTAAATTGGTCGACAGACGTATCTTGACTGTAGCCTGCAAGCCAACTTGACCTGATATCACTTGTTGCGCACGCGCTGTATTCCCCGTGCTGATAACATATTACAACTGGGTTTAACCCTAATTGCAGTTCGGCAAGATCGTGCTCACCACTGCCGTTGGTATCATGGATCACGAGGAGGCCCGCCGAAAGAAGGTCGGAGGCAAGGTG